ACAAAACAAAGACAGACTAGGAAGAAAGAGTGACAAACTACTTCCGAATCGCTAGTCACTGAAAACTCTATGCATAAGAAACCTAGGTAACATTTATCACAGATTTTCAACTTTATCACTTCATTGTGTCTCTGCTTACATTAGAGAGCTTCCCCAGAAGTTTTCCATCTGTTTTACTGAATCAGCTACACAGCATCCTCCAACCCTGAACCTCATGTGGCGATAAGTTTTTTAATCTCTGAACATAGCTTTTCACTTCATCTAAGCTGTTCAGATGTGGTGCTGTAGGATAAGCACAAGACTGCTAACGGCAAGGCCGGAAGCTCAACCTTCCAGTAAGTAGCTCTTTGGAAACCCTATACAGGGTTGCAACTAACTTGACAGCACTCACCAACAAGCTGTTCCATGTCCCTGCACGGTGCAGGTGTTAGCACACTTAGTTGCTAACTGAAAGGTTGGAGACTCAAGTCCACGCAGAGACACACAGGCCTGGAAATAGATCTACTTCCCAAAAAGCACCCATTGAAAGCACAGTGGAGCACAGTTCTACTCTGACATGCATGTTGTTGTTGTGAAGGGTCGTCAAGTTTGTTTGACCCATAGTGACCCTGTATAGGGTTTCCGAGGAACAGCTGGTAAGCTTGAGCTGCCAACCTTGCAGTTCAAACGGCTTTGCAGTCTGGCGCATTAACCCACAGTGCCAGGGTCAGCATAATTCAGAACGGGCTCAATGGCAACTGGTTTAAAAATTTTTGTTGTTGTTCAAGCTTTAGCTTTCCTCTTACACTCCATGCTGTTGAAACCTACTTTCTGAACTGTGTAGGGCGGACTCACAGATATTCCATGTAGAAGAATGCTTTCTCCTGGCTCCAGAGCAGACCTGACCTCCATCCTCTGTAGAGTGGGCCCAGTGCCCACTCAGGCAGATTGAACTCAGCACCGCCCTATGGAGGGTCTGCCACTTGGATGTCTGTAGATTCAAAGCTGACTTTAACTGATCTTTTTACTTTTTTTGAGGCTTGCCAAAGGTCACTCTCCTAAAGTGGTTTTAGGAGTACACTCTCTCTCAAAGAATGAAGCCTCCAAACACTGGAGATTAAAAAATGCATACCATTCTCAAAATTTAAATCAGATACTAAATCCAATGATATCATGCAGATTCTGGTATGTAGCGTCACCTCCCTTCAGTTTCTTTCCCCAGTGTTCTTCGACAGTATGGCTCAGTTAGTTAAATCATCTACACACAATTATTTTGTTAGCATCCTTCCCATGTTTGAGGTAATTGTGATATATTCTGTATGGGTCTAGAGCACTCTATAAGCTACCAGAAAAAGGACAAGAATTTATCACAATGCACCAGGCCTGTGTTTATGCAAGGAGAAGCAATTCTGATGTTCACATTCATAGAAGAGGAACATCTCAATGACTCACAGTGAAAATCTTTTTCCCAAATGTTTTTTTTTTCATTATCAAGTGAAAAATATAATAGTAGTTTATACAGCAGAGCAAACCAAGTGACTTCAAGGGCTCAGCAGTGAGTTACAACTTAGTCTAGACCATATTTAGTCTAATCCAAGCTAAGTCTAGACCATACTCAAGAGTCCTATCCAGCAGGAAACAGCCCAACCCTCAAAGTCATGACCTATGGATGTTGTTCTGCAGAAACCATCCAACGCAAGGCAAAGGCCACAGTGCTTGAGACTGGGCAGAGTTCCTTCCCCAGCATCACTAAGCTCTACAGGGAATGGGGAGCATGTTCAGAAAGCAACAACCACAAAGGCAGCTGCCGGCTACCACCAAAGGAGACTCGAGAAGCAGGACACCCTCCTAGTACAGAGGGACCACACATACACCACTCGGATTAACAGCAAAATAATATTATTCTGATCATTTCTTCTCTTGTCAATCTGTCAGCTTCGCATGGCCACAAAACTCAGCAAGCATGTCCAGCTGCTCCACCTAAGATTCAAAGATGATATTAGAGCTGGAACTAAATGCCAGGTTACTGGCTGGGGAAGCACAGATTGAGATTTGTTAAGCCCCTCAGATACCCTGCAAAAAGTTACTGTTACTGTTATAAATCAGAAACTTTGCAACAGCCAAAGTTATTACAACTTCAAACCTATGATAACTAAAGATGTGGTATGTGGGGGAGACATCACAGGTCAGAGGATTCCTGCTGGGTAAGACTTTTGGTGCAGTGATTAAGTGTTCAGCTGCTAACCAAAAGGTTAGCTGTTCAAGTCCACCAGATGCTCCATGGTAGAACAATGTGTCAGTCTGCTTCTGTAAAGATTTACAGACTTGGAAACCCCATGGGACAGCTCGATTTTGTCCTAGAGGGTCATTCTGAGTCTTAACTTGACTCAGCTGCCATGGGTCTGGTTTTTTGGGGTAGGGATATTCTGAAACATGGATATCCTTCAAACAGACCATTCAAAATACAGTTAGGTTCACTAACGGTTGCTCACTAACACAGAGGAGTGGCGTGGAGGATACGAGGTCACAGTTTTAAAATTGTCCATTCTTCTGCAGCAGTCTCTAGTCTTTCTCATTATGAATGAATCAGAAAAATGAGTCCAATGTATTTTTACCACACTTGGTTCCAGAAAGTATTTTAAGTGCTCATTAAATGTTTTTTCATGAGAATAGTAGACTATAGCTGAATGTTTGCAATCTTCCTATGAAATTACCATCCTTAGTAAGTTTATCAACCTTAATTAAGGGCACTAGAGGTGACGAGGAGAAGAGAACTTGTCCAAAAAACAACAATGGCTAGTCTTCATGAAACTCAAATGCAAAAAAACTCAATCATATCCAGGTATGTGAAAAGAGAATCAATAATGCCAAGGTACCATCCCTGCCATCGTGACATATGCATGCACTGTTCTTTTCAGCTATGCTCAATTGCCATTTGTTTTAAAGTCTGTGAGCTCAAAAACATTTAATTTTTTTTTTAATTTCATTTATCTCAGTGGATTATCCAAGCTTCATCTCCACTCATTTTTTTAACTAACAAAGCTCAACAGTCCCTGCACAGTAAAAGAGTGTCTGTATATACATACATAGACATGGACCAAGGTAGAAGAGAGACAGGGAGACCTAGTGTGGTGCTCAAGCTCACCAGTCACTCCCCAGAAACCCTATACAGGGTCACTATGAGTCAGAACCGACTTGACAGCACTTAGCAACCACAACAAATATACAAATACATAGGCAGAGACACAGACAAGGACGTAGAAACATGGACAGAGACTGAGATGTATCATAGTTATAAAAAGGGACAGTGGCATGGAGAGAGAGAGACAGTCACCAAAAAAAGACATTGAGCATCTGTACTGACCAAGAAGAGCCCATGTCCAGCACTCTTCAGGCCCCAAAGAAACAAACCCACTTCACCAGCAATAGTAAATTGTTCCTTTTATTTATGTATGTTGAGCACAGACATGTTTCATGTGCTCAATGCTGGCTGAACATTAGAATCACCAGCAGCTTTGTAAAATGCCAATGCCTTAGCCCCACCACAGACTCACTAAATGCAAATCACTGAGAATGGAACCCTGAGCTCAGTATTGTTTTAACTGCTCCTGATGATTCTAATGTGCAGCCTAATGTTAAAACAAACAAACAAACACTATCATTGAGTTGATTCCAACTCATAACAACCCTCTACAGGGTTTCTGAAGGAAATCTGGTACCGTAGTGATTACAAATTGGGCTGCTAACCTCAAGGTCAGCAGTTCGAAACTACCAGCCATTCTGTGGGAGAAAGATGAGGTTTTCTGCTCCTGTAAAGATTTACAGCCTCAGAAACCCTATGCAGGGCTGGTTTGAGTCAGAAGTCACTCCATGGCACACCACCACTACCACAGAGTTTCTGAAACTATAAATCTTTATGGGAGCAGACAGCCTAATCTTTCTCCCAAAGGGCTGCTGGTAGATTTGAACCACTGACCTTGCACTTAACATTCCAGTGCTTATCCTACAGCACCACCAATCCTCCTTACAAAGAAACAAAGTACCCAGATAACAATCACTCAGGTAGTCAACAGGTGGTAATAGAAATAGTTCAACAGTGTCTGACTAAGTATCTGCCCATTTGCTTCTTCCAGGGGGACTCAGGTGGTGGCTTCAATGCCATAGTCTCTGAAGAGATGTGGTGAAGCTAAGAAACCTGGAATTTATATCCTATTAACCAAGAAATTGTTGTTGTTAAGTGCCATCAAGTCGGTTCCGACCCATGATGACCCTATATAGGATTTCCAAGGAGCGACAGGTGAACTTGAACCACCGATCTCGCAGTTCAAATGGCTTTTCATTCTGGCATATTAACCCACAGCACCACACCAGGAGTCCTCGGAAACCCTGTACAGGGTCGTTATGGGTCGGAACCGACTCAACGGCACTTAACAACAACAACCAAGAAATACCAGGCTTGGATCAAAACCAATCTTGCCTCGCCTCATGTAAATTAAGATTACAAGTGATTTTCTTGGATTGTTTGTTTTTTTCATAATATGTTCTACAAGTCAAATTGATCTTCAGAGGTCGTTGCTTATAGTTAAAGCTGCTCTCTTAGGGTTGATTTGGTTGAAGAATCAAGTTCCTTCTTGTATTATGCATATCTTCTATTATGCTAATTTCATTCTAAATAAAATTTAAAAGACTATTTGTTTTGTCTTTTATGGAAATAAAATACAGTAAATGGTATACCCATTACTCCACTCACCTTCCCCTAAAGGGTAAAAAGATGACTAAACAAGACAATAAGGACCCCACCTTCAACCTGGTGTGTTGGAATTGCTGCTGCATCATTGTATGTTATCTTCTTTTAAAGAAGAAACAGTAAATTCTAATACCCCAACTCAATTTATAAAAGAAATCATCAAAATTTATGAAAACATTTAGGATAGCATTCATTACTTATTTATGTCACACTTTGTTCCAGAAAGGATTTAAAACAGTATACACAAATACCTGCAATAAAGCAAAATATAAAAATTTTAAATAACTTGGTGAAGAAATTGAAGCAAAGGGGAAATTGCTGTTCTTGGGTGCCATTGAGTCAGTTCCTACTCATAGTGGCCTATGTACAACAGAACAACATTGTCCAAAGGAGAAATGAGAGGATGAGAAAGATGAAGGCCAAAGTGTTAATGCCCAAAGTTCCTTAAATTTCTTCCTATATGTTTGCCAGAAGGAGTGACTCTGTAGGCTGACTTCTGGCATTGTTGTTAGCTGCCTCACACACAGTGGAATTAAATGCTGTCTGAACCATCCCTATGATGAATTGCAGTTCAGAGCACTGTGATTTATAGGGTTTCCTTTGGCTCATTTCTGGAAGAAGGTCACCAGCCCTTTCTTTCCAGTTCATCCTAGTCCAGAAGCTCTGCTTAAATCTATTCAGCATCATTTGTTGTTGTTGTTAAGTGCCGTCAAGTCGGTTCTGACCTATAGAGACCCTGAACAGGGTTTCCGAGGCTGTAAATCTTTAAGGGAGCAGAAAGTCTCATCTTTCTCCCGCGGAACAGCTGGTAGTTTCGAACTGCTGACCTTAAGGTTCGAAGCCCGATTCATAACCACTACGCTACCAGAGCTCCCTCCTAGCAATGCAGAAATTACCACTGACAGTTGGGTGGTAGCTATGCATGAGGTGCAAGGACCAAGAATCAAACCCAGGTTTGTCTTGTTGTTGTTGTTAACTGCTTTCAAGGTGGTTCTGCTTCATAACAATCCTGTATAAGGCTTCCAAGGCTGTACATCTTTTCAGGAGCAGAAAGCCTCATCTTTCTTCAGCAAAATTGCAGGTGGGTTCGAACCGCCAACCTTGAGGTTCTAGACTGGAGAAAATTTCACCTCTAAACCACCAACATCCTCATGCTGACTATAGTAAGCTGTTACATACACACTCATGGTTCAAATCCACCATTCGTCTATCAGTTTGCCCTACTGTGGAGGCTTGCATGTTGCTGTGATGCTGGAAGCTATGCCACCTGTATTTCGAATACTGACAGGGTCACCCAAAGTGGACAGGTTTCAGCTGAGCTGAAACTCACTAAGACATACTCCGATGAAGGAAAGACAGACTACTTCCTAATACTTAGTCTCTGAAAGCTTTATAAAGAGCAGTGGAAAACTGCCAGATAATTCCATAATATTGAATATTTAGACATTATGAATGTTGTTGTTGTTGTTAAGTGCTGTGAAGTGATGTTGTTGTTGTTGTTAGGTGCCATTGGGTCGGTACCAACTCATAGCGACCTTATGCACAGCAGAATGAAACACTGCCCGATCCTGAGCCAACCTCACTACTGTTGCTACGCTCCAGTTCATCGATGCTGCCACTTGGCCATTCCATATCGTTGGGGTCTTCCTCTTTTTCTCTGACCATCTACTTTACCAAATATGATAGCCTTCTCCAGCGACTGGTCCCTCCTGACAATATGTCCAAAGTATGAGAGACGAATTGGTCAAGTGATAGAATGATAGAATTTTGCAAGATCAATGACTTCTTTGTTGTAAATACCTTTATTAAACAACATAAAGGATGA